CCGAACAGCCTGGTACTGCAAGCCGACATCGCGAATGCTTTCAACAGCATTTCGCGATAGGCTATCGCAGTTGCGTTACAAGAACCCAGCCTTTCTCCACTACTACCGCTGGTCAAACTGACTTACGGTAACCCGTCGCAGCTGCATCTGGATGCAAATTTTACAAGCGACCCCTTGCAAAGTGAACAAGGCGTTCGCCAGGGCGACCCACTAGGCCCTCTCCTGTTCGCTGCGGGGATTCACCCCACACTTCGCGACACTGCAGCAGCGCACCCTGATGTGCTTTGTTTGGCGTATGCGGACGACGTGACCTTCGTGGGGGAAAAACGTGCAACTGTAGCTGCCTTCAACCACTTCACCTCAAAGCTGGAAATCCTGGGCCTGAAGCACAACCCGCAGAAGTGCACGGCTTGGAGCGCACGAACGTGCGACTCAACCGAGCTGCCGCGAGCAGTCCCTTTCTGCAAGGACGGCGTCCGGCTCTTGGGAAGTTTCATCGGTGCAGCAGACGGGGCATCTACTTTCCTGGCTGGGCAATTGGGGGAGATGGCCAAGCCCTTGCCACTCATCGAGCGGGCGGATCCGCAGGTCGCTTCGCTGCTGATCACGCGCTGCATCTCCCGGCGCGTGGCGTACCTCACACGGACGACCCCCCTCAATCTCATCTCCCGGGACACTTGGACGCAGTGGGGTCGCGATCTCTTGATGATATTGCTTACCTCGTGCAATATCCGAGCTCCAGCGGGTAGAGCGGAACTGTCGCGTGTGTGGGCTCAAGCGACCCTTCCTCCGTCTCTTGGGGGTGTAGGGATTACAGACCCTCTCATCGAGGGCGTATACGGATTCGTCGCAAGTTTCACGCAGGCGGCGCAGCTCTTCTCCACGCTCACTCTGTCCCCAGATTCTGCCCTGTCGCACGCAGTCGGCCATATGCTCCTGCCGACAGACGAGAGCACTCCACTCCACTCCTGGCTCACTGAGTGCTAGACCACCCTGCCTTCGGACGCACGTGAGCTGTTGGAACGGGAGCGTCTGAAACGGACGGACGTGAAGCTGCAGCACGCCCTCGCCCTCCAAGTCCACGGCAGTCGCTACGCGGTGCAGGTTCAGGAAGCGAGGAAGATGCCGCTGAATCCGTTTGCAGGCCACACGCAGCGGATGTTCTCCTTGACGGGATACGGTGCTGGGGATTGGTTGACAGCGATACCAATAGCCCCGAATAGGCGCATTAGACCGGTCCACTTCGCCAACGCCGTCAGATTTCGGCTCGGCTTGCCCTTCTCCACTCCCAAAAACTGTGACTGCGCGGACCACACAGCGATCATCGACCCCCGCCTCCCAAATCACCTCCTACGCTGCGGCACCGGCAAGCACCGCATCAACACTCACAACGAGGTCCGTGACGCCTGCATCAGCATGGCCCAAGATGCGGGATTCATAGTCCACAGTGAGTCGGCGGCCCATTGCCCCATCGAAGAGCAGACGGCCGACTTCACCATGACCGACAGGAGCAGCGGGGCAGTATGGGTGTGTGATGTGACTGTGACAGACCCTATCAACATACGGGACCCGGAGGCACAGAAAGGAAGGGGATGGGCGGCAAGGGAGCAGGCAGACAAAAAGATTGGGCACTATTCAAGTAGACCTGAGACGGTTGGTTTCTTCCCATTGGCGGTGGAGACTTATGGCTGCCCTTGTGCAGAGGTCTCCGTCTTCCTAGAACTCCTGGCAGACACGGCGGCTCGGCGCCACTTCAACGCCGATTCTAACTCCTACTATGCCGCTAAGTTTCTGCATCAGTTCAGGCAGCGGTGGTCGGTTGCACTTCAGAGAGCACAGTCAGTGGGGTTGCTCATGAGGTTGGGTGAGGCGGCAGCCGCTGAGAACCCCTCGGTCAGGGGTATCGGCCAAGAACTACACCTAGGAGATTGCTTTGCTGTTTTGGAGCCACTTGTGGAACTGTAGATGGGATAGGTTTTGACTTGCATGCTTACCAAACCTGTACGTGTGTACCTTTCGGCCATATCAATATACGGACCATTAGAGAGGTGACGGAGGAAGGATACAGAGGTAGGAAAACAGAGAGAAAGGTGACAGAGGTAGGAAAACAGAGAGGTGACAGAGGTAAAAAAACAGCGAGACAGGTGACAGAGGAAGGAAATCAGAGAGAGATGTGACAAAGGTAGGAAAACAGAGAGAGAGGTGACAGAGGTAGGAAAACAAAGAGAGGTGACAGAGGTAGGAAAACAGAGAGAGGTGACAGAGGTAGGAAAACAGAGAGAGGGGTGACAGAGGTAGGAAAACAGAGAGAGGGGTGACAGAGGTAGGAAAACAGAGAGAGAGGTGACAGAGGTAGGAAAACAGAGCTTGGGGTGACAGAGGTAGGAAAACCGAGAGGGAGGTGACAGAGGTAAGAAAACAGAGAGAGAGAGGTGATAGAGGGAGGACACATATGGAGGAAAACAGAAAGAGAGAGGGGATAGAGGGCCAATAACGGGAGGAAAACAGAGACAGAGGTGATAGAGGGAGAATACAGATGTAGGAGAACAGAGAGAGAGGTGATAGAGGGAGGATACAGGGGGAGGAAAGCAGAGAGAAGGGGTGGATACAGAGGCATGAGGTGAGAGGGAAGGTAGAGAGGAAGGTAGAGAGGGATGGTAGAGAGGGAAGGTAGAGAGGGAAGGTAGAGCGGGAAGGTAGAGAGGGAAGGTAGAGCGGGAAGGTAGAGAGGGAAGGTAGAGAGGGAAGGTAGAGGGGGAAGGTAGAGGGGGAAGGTAGAGGGGGAAGTGATCAGAGAGAGGATACAGAGGGCAGCAAGCACCCCAACTTCACCTGCCAGCAGTAGGAGCAGCAGACAGCCCACCCCCTTTTGGAAACACCATTCGCAGAAGTTGCGCTTTGTCGGGCGAAGTGTGGCAGTGGAAAATCGCTTCCAGCCCAAGACTCAAATCCTGCCCCTGACGTAGCTAGAGCTGACGCGAACCAGAGCCGCCGGCCGGTCGGCTCTGACGGTGTCCATGAAGCCTTAAACGCCAGATTGGGAACCTGAGCACCGAGTGCCGTTTGAGTCGACTCAAAAATCACCCCAGATTCGGAACCTGAGCACCGAGTGTCGTTTTGAGTCGACTCAAAAGTCACCCCAGATTGGGAACCTGAGCACCGAGTGCCGTTTGAGTCGACTCAAAAGTCACCCCAGATTGGGAACCTGATCACCGAGTGCCGTTTGAGTCGACTCAAAAGTCACCCCAGATTGGGAACCTGAGCACCGAGTGCCGTTTGAGTCGACTCAAAAGTCACCCCGGATTGGGAACCTGAGCACCGAGTGCCGTTTGAGTCGACTCAAAAGTCACCCCAGATTGGGAACCTGAGCACCGAGTGCCGTTTGAGTTGACTCAAAAGTCACCCCGGATTGGGAACCTGAGCACCGAGTGCCGTTTGAGTCGACTCAAAAGTCACCCCAGATTGGGAACCTGATCACCGAGTGCCGTTTGAGTCGACTCAAAAGTCACCCCAGATTGGGAACCTGAGCACCGACTGCCGTTTGAGTCGACTCAACAGTCACCCCAGATTGGGAACCTGAGCACCGAGTGCCGTTTGAGTCGACTCAAAAGTCACCCCAGATTGGGAACCTGAGCACCGAGTGCCGTTTGAGTCGACTCAAAAGTCACCCCAGATTGGGAACCTGAGCACCGAGTGCCGTTTGAGTCGACTCAAAAGTCACCCCAGATTGGGAACCTGAGCACCGAGTGCCGTTTTGAGTCGACTCAAAAGTCACCCCAGATTGGGAACCTGATCACCGAGTGCCGTTTGAGTCGACTCAAAAGTCACCCCAGATTGGGAACCTGAGCACCGAGTGCCGTTTGAGTCGACTCAAAAGTCACCCCAGATTCGGAACCTGAGCACCGAGTGCCGTTTGAGTCGACTCAAAAGTCACCCCAGATTGGGAACCTGAGCACCGAGTGCCGTTTGAGTCGACTCAAAAGTCACCCCAGATTGGGAACCTGAGCACCGAGTGCCGTTTGAGTCGACTCAAAAGTCACCCCAGATTGGGAACCTGAGCACCGAGTGCCGTTTGAGTCGACTCAAAAGTCACCCCAGATTGAACCTGAGCACCGAGTGCCGTTTGAGTCGACTCAAAGGTCACCCCAGATTGGGAACCTGAGCACCGAGTGCCGTTTGAGTCGACTCAAAAGTCACCCCAGATTGGGAACCTGAGCACCGAGTGCCGTTTGAGTCGACTCAAAAGTCACCCCAGATTGGGAACCTGAGCACCGAGTGCCGTTTGAGTCGACTCAAAAGTCACCCCAGATTGGGAACCTAAGCACCGAGTGTCGTTTGAGTCGACTCAAAAGTCACCCCAGATTGGGAACCTGAGCTCCGAGTGCCGTTTGAGTCGACTCAAAAGTCACCCCAGATTGGGAACCTGAGCACCGAGTGCCGTTTGAGTCGACTCAAAAGTCACCCCAGATTGGGAACCTGAGCACCGAGTGCCATTTGAGTCGACTCAAAAGTCACCCCAGATTGGGAACCTGAGCACCGAGTGCCGTTTGAGTCGACTCAAAAGTCACCCCAGATTGGGAACCTGAGCACCGAGTGCCGTTTGAGTCAACTCAACAGTCACCCCAGATTGGGAACCTGAGCACCGAGTGCCGTTTGAGTCGACTCAAAAGTCACCCCAGATTGGGAACCTGAGCACCGAGTGCCGTTTGAGTCGACTCAAAAGTCACCCCAGATTGGGAACCTGAGCACCGAGTGCCGTTTGAGTCGACTCAAAAGTCACCCCAGATTGGGAACCCGAGCACCGAGTGCCGTTTTGAGTCGACTCAAAAGTCACCCCAGATTGGGAACCTGAGCACTGAGTGCCGTGCCGCACCGATTCCACCCTCCACACCCCGCCCCACAAGACACATCCCCTGAGAATGCTGCCCCTCAGAAAGTGAACTCCCTGCTTGCTCCCATGCTTCCCACCTACCCACCCGTCACTTCACCCCCATGCCAACCTACCTGTACCTACCAGAGCCATGCAGAGCGCCATGATGGTGAGGCTGCTGGAAAGTGGGGAGTGGGGGATTAGAGGAAGTGCGGGACTCCACTGTGGTCCAGGTAGGGTGCTGCTGGGACGGCTGGGGAAAAGGGAGAGAGGAGGAGGTGTGTGAGAGGGTGTCTCCACTCTCCCGCCCCTTCTCCTGTGCTCCCACCCTCAGGCTGCAAGGGAGAGGGGGAAGGGAGAGAAAGAGGAGGGGATCAGAATACCATACCTCACCTGTTACCGTACCACACCTAATACCACACCTCCCGACAGCTTCACCTAGCCTAGGCTGCCCACCCCAGCCCCCACTGCTGCTACTGCTGCTGCCTTGGCCGCTTTTGCTGCTGCAACTGCTGCTGCCGATCTGCTACTCTGCTTCGCTGCTTCTGTTGCTGTTGTCTTCTCTTGATGCCAAGTGACCTGCTGGTGGGCAGAAATGGGAGGTGAGGGAGACGAGGGGAGGGGCGGGAGGAACAGGTGAGTTGGCGTGAACAGAACCAGAAGAGCACTAGAGTGGAATAAAATGAGAATGCAGAAGGGGGAGAAGGGAGAGCTACTGTAGCAAGTGAACAAGGGGAGAGGTGAGCTAAGGCGTGAGGTAACACACCTTGAGGGGCCAAACCCATCCCGATACTCTCCCTAGTAACACTATTTCAGTCGGCTGCAATGCTGCCTCCTCCCCATCCCCGTGGGTACGTGCAGGGCCAGCGGGGGAGGGGCGTGCAGGAGTGGCGCCGTTGACACCCACGCCCCTCCCCTCCACCTGCAATGGCCCACGGAGAAAGAGTGAGTGACTGGTGGAGAGGCGAGGGGTGAAGGAGGAGGGCGGATGCACAACAAGCAATCGGAAAGACGAGAGGGGAGGGGGTCACTGGTTCAGCCTCACCTGCAAGCCACATACCAAGGGGGGGGGGTTATACCAAAGGGGGGTTTACCTGCTATACCAAGGGCGGATTACCCAAGAAAAGGGGACTGTGGCTTGAAGCCTTGGCTCAACCAGAGGCATGCACTTGAAGAGACGAAAAACAGCAGGTGCAGCAATGATTAACATGGAAAGCAAACGAGCTCAAGAGGGAGAACTAGGAGAGGAAGAGCAGGGCAGGGACTTAGCTGTGTGAAGGTTGGGTGGAGAGCAGGTGCTGCCTGTGCACTCCATGTCCCCCGCCACTGCCACTCCCGTGTAAGCGACCTGCTGGGATGAGAGGGTTGCAGATTGGGACAGAGAGAGGAAGGGACGAGGGACGGAGGTGGGGGAGAAGAGGACGGAGGTGTGAAGGGGGAGCAGAGATGTGGGAAGGGAAATGAGGAAAAGAACATAGGCGAGTGAGTAAAGCGAGAGAGAAGTCAAAAGAAAGTGAAAGAACGATGTGCAGGGGGTGAATGGATTACTGCTGCAGTGACACATCCAAGAGACCTCGTACCAGCTGAACCACACTGAATCAAATACCTGAGGCTTTACCCGAGATTGTACCTGTTATCTTGGGGAGGGAGGTCCCTTGCGTGTGACAAAGAGCAGCAGGGAAAAGTGTATGGTGCATGGTGCAAGTAAGACACGAAATGCAACACAAGCGCAAGGGATGGGATTAGAGAGGCGGCGAGGGTCCTTAGCTGTGGTGGGCTGGGTTTGCTGCTTGTGCACTCCATGTCCCACCCCATACTCCCTCCTGTTGCCCTCATGCTACCCTCCTGCTACCCTCCTGCTACCCTCCTGCTACCCTCCTGCTGCCCTCCTGCTGCCCCCTTCCTCCCTGCTGCAGCCATGATTGCACTGGGCGCTGCGAGGGAGGCGGTGGGAGGGGCGCAGGGAGCAAGGGACAGCTGTGAGCATGGGGAGATGAGCAGGCAGAAGCGTAAAGATACAAAGGGAGCAAGAAAGTGAAGTGAGAATAGGGAGAAGATGAGCAGCCGCACGAGTGAAGGGAAGAGGAAACAGCGGCTCACCTTGTTCAGGAGACCCAAGTCCAATACTCTCCCATCCCATCCCAACCGAGTGGTGTGCTGCCGAGTCAGTGAGGGGGGAGAAGGCACTTAACTGGCAGATGAAGAGTCAACGACGCCTGCTGTCTCATATCCCCTCCCCTCCCCTCCCTTCCCCTCCCCTCCACTCCCTTCCCCTCCCCTCCCCTCCTTTCCCCTCCCCTCCCCTCCCTTTCCATCCTCTCCCCTCCTGCTACTCCTGCAGAGTGATCTGGAAGGGGGAGGAGAGGAGGGGAGGCAAGGAGGCGAGTGAGAACAGGAATGGCAAGGGCAGGCTTGAAAAGACAGGAAAGGGCAACGAGAAGGATGAGCATCCACAGGCTTCCAGCAGAACGCGAGTCCAGTGCGGAAGAGCAGGCAAAGGGCTCACCTTGAGAGGCCACGCCCATCCCCATACTCTCCCTCGTGGCGGCGATTGCAATACGCTGCAGTGCTGCCTCCCTCCTGTCTCCACCACTCAGCCTCCTCTGCTGCACGCCAAGTAATCTGGCGGGGGGGGGCAGAGCGGAGAGAGGGAAGGAGGCAAGAGAGTGAAGACAGGCAAGAGGGATAGAGAAGGATGAGCGAGAAAGAACCGGCAAGGAGGAAGGTAACGTACCTTGAGAGGCCATGCCCAGCCCCATACTCTCTCTCAGGGCGGCGACTTCAATCTGCTGCTGCGCTGTTTCCCTCCCGTCCCCACAAGCACCTGCACGGCCACAGGGCAGAGGCGTGAGGGAGCGTCGGTGTTGACCCCACGCCCCTCCCCTCCAGCAAGGCACAGAGAGAGCAGTGGTGAGTGGGATTGCAAGGAAAGGCCCCAAGCACAAGTGAGAGAGCAGTGAGTGCCATGCGTGGAGGAAGGAAGAAGGGGCCACTGGGGAGGCACGACCACACGCAACAAACCCAAGGGGACCTGCATACCTGAGAGGGATACCTGCACCTGAGAGGGATACCTGCACCTGAGAGGGATATCTGCACCTGAGAGGGATACCTGCACCTGAGAGGGATACCTGCACCTGAGAGGGATACCTGCACCTGAGAGGGATACCTGCACCTGAGAGGGATACCTGCACCTGAGAGGGATACCTGCATACCTGAGAGGGATACCTGCACGTGAGAGGGATACCTGCACGTGAGAGGGATACCTGCACCTGAGAGGGATACCTGCACCTGAGAGGGATACCTGCACTTGAGAGGGATACCTGCACCTGAGAGGGATACCTGCACCTGAGAGGGATACCTGCACCTGAGAGGGATACCTGCACCTGAGAGGGATACCTGCACCTGAGAGGGATACCTGCACCTGAGAGGGATACCTGCACCTGAGAGGGATACCTGCACCTGAGAGGGATACCTGCACCTGAGAGGGATACCTGCACCTGAGAGGGATACCTGCACCTGAGAGGGATACCTGCACCTGAGAGGGATACCTGCACCTGAGAGGGATACCTGCACCTGAGAGGGATACCTGCACCTGAGAGGGATACCTGCACCTGAGAGGGATACCTGCACCTGAGAGGGATACCTGCACCTGAGAGGGATACCTGCACCTGAGAGGGATACCTGCACCTGAGAGGGATACCTGCACCTGAGAGGGATACCTGCACCTGAGAGGGATACCTGCACCTGAGAGGGATACCTGCACCTGAGAGGGATACCTGCACCTGAGAGGGATACCTGCACCTGAGAGGGATACCTGCACCTGAGAGGGATACCTGCACCTGAGAGGGATACCTGCACCTGAGAGGGATACCTGCACCTGAGAGGGATACCTGCACCTGCTGAGAGGGATACCTAGACATGAGGGGCAAACCGGACGTGAGAGGGTCTGTGGCATGTGAGTCGGGCCCTACCAGTGGCACTGATTCAAGGAGACGGATGACAGCACAACCAGCCAAGGCATTGAGAGCAAACGAGGTGGCAGGCAAGGGAGAGGGCGTGGACGAAGGTACTTAGCTGGTGGCGTGAGAGCAGGTGACAGTTGAAGAAGCACCAGGGCAGCTGAAGCACCACCAGGTGACTCCTCCCAGCAGCCCTCCTCCCAGCCTCCTGTGTGCGTCCCTGCACGGCCACAGGGGAGAAGCGTGAGGGAGCGTCGGTGTTGACCCCACGCCCCTCCCCTCCACCAGCAAGGCACACACAAAGCAGCAGTGAGTGCGCATGGAATGGCCAGAAGCACAAGGGAAACACCAGAAGCTGCGAAATCAGGAAGATAGGAGGGGCCACTGATTGAAGCACGGCCACAAGTCACAGAGCCCAAGGGAACCTGCAGTACCTGAGGGGGATACCTGCACCTGAAAAAATACCTGAAGTAAGGGGGTCTGTGGCATGTGGCCGGGCTCAACCAGTGGCACTGATTCAAGGAGAAAGGCGAAAGCACGAGCAAGAACAGACTGGCAAGTACAAGTGATGACGTGGAGGAAGGGGCACTTAGCTGGAAGCGAGAGAGGAGGTGGTAGCTGCAGGAGCACGGGCAGCAGGCGTGTCCCTCCCACTGTAGCTCGGCTCCAGCGCTGCTGGGAGGAAGGGGGGGAAGGGGGGTGGGCGGGAGGGGGGGGAAGGGTAAGGAAGAGGGGAGGGTGTGCTTAGAACGGCAGTGAGAGGGATGGATGCAGCAGCGGGAAAGAGGATGCATGCATGCAACGTGAGATGGAGCAAGAACGGGAGGAGGGCCACTGGTGCACACACAGTCACAAGCCACAGACCCACGGGCTGGTTGCTACCTGCAGTGAGAGAGGGCTATACCTGAACACGAGCAGCACTGGTAAGTGAGGTCGCTGGGAGGGGAGGAGGGCGAATGGCAGGTGAGAGGAGGCACGGTGCAAGGCGGTGGAGGGGAGGGGTCACCAGTGGGGGCACAGCCAGCACAAGCCACAGACCTCAGGGGAAACCTGCCGTAAGGATGCACCTGAGGGAGAAAAGGGTGTCTGAACCTGAGGGGTTTGAACCTGAGAGGTTTGAACCTGAGGGGGTTTGAATCTGAGGGGTTTGAACCTGAGGGGGTTTGAATCTGAGGGGGTTTGAACCTGAGGGGGTTTGAACCTGAGGGGGTTTGAACCTGAGGGGGTTTGAACCTGGGGGAAACCTGCCGTAAGGATGCACCTGAGGGAGAAAAGGGTGTCTGAACCTGAGGGGTTTGAACCTGAGAGGGTTTGAACCTGAGGGGGTTTGAACCTGGGGGAAACCTGCCGTAAGGATGCACCTGAGGGAGAAAAGGGTGTCTGAACCTGAGGGGTTTGAACCTGAGAGGTTTGAACCTGAGGGGGTTTGAGCCTGAGGGGTTTGAACCTGAGGGGTTTGAACCTGAGGGGGTTTGAATCTGAGGGGGTTTGAACCTGAGGGGGTTTGAACCTGAGGGGGTTTGAACCTGAGGGGGTTTGAACCTGAGGGGGTTTGAACCTGAGGGGGTTTGAACCTGAGGGGGTTTGAACCAGAGGGGGTTTTAATCTGAGGAGGTTTGAACCTGAGGGGGTTTGAACTTGAGGGGGTTTGAACGTGAGGAAGTTTGAACCCGAGGGGGGTACTTGCAATAGAAGGTATGTGGCTTGCAAAGCGGGCCCCAACCAGTGGCGAGATTTTGAGGGAGAAACAACGGAAGCGCAGGTGAGCAAGCATGACTTGAGTTTAGGGATGGGAGGGTACTGAAGCCGGCGCACTGCTGAGGGTGGTATTTGCTACCCTTGATCCGCGAGCTTCAGTTAAGCCGCTCGCGAATGGCACTATGCCAAGAAATCGACCTGCGAGATTTAATTGCGAAATTGATGCACGCAAATGAGTCACGCATATGAGACGAAAAATGCAACGCGCGATGGACCTGCACAAAGACGATTTGCAGACATTGGGGCTGTTCTGTAGGCGTTAAATTTCTAAAAACTGGGTCCGCGGAATTTTCGTTGATGAGTAAGCTTCTGCCTATCAAGGTTTGGTGATACGAGAGGTCCCGCCAAACCTGTTTGCGCCAAATTTGACGCTGCTGCCTGCAGAACACCACTTATAAAGCGCACAAATTTAACGGAGTGAAGGTTCCAGGATGTAGCATTACCAGGCAAATGTAACTTGTGTGCTCCTAATTCAAACCTCGAAAGCTAGAATCAGCTGGCGCATAAGTTGTGCGGGGCAGCAATTTGAGGGGTTGAGAGATTTGGCGAGACTTTGTGGCAACATCAGTCCAGCAAATTGAGAAATGCGGGATTTGGATGCGGCGAGAAGCTACTTGGAAGGACTTGCCCATACATTTCATGCGGAAGCATTAAAGCCGGCGGCCCAAATTGTTCATGCTTTTCAAAAGTTGTCCAGAGAGAGTTTTTCTGGTGTGGGCTTTGGCAAGAGTTTCCAATTTCGTCTAGGTTCGTTTTTTTCGCTAGACCCAGCCAACCCTCGGTTTTCCCCTGGTGAGTGAATCTGTCTTCATAAGTCCCAAATTGCAAGTGCGTGACTTTCAAAAGCTTGGACACTTAACTTCCTCAAGTTTTAAAAACTTGACCCTCGCGGTCCGCAATTTGGGACGCGGGCTTTAACGCCTACAGAACAGCGCCATTGAGAAACTGATGACACGCGAAATCGATTCAAGAAACGAATTCGCGAATTTGGCTAAATGTAACATCACGAAAGGTGTGGCTTGCGACAATATCTGAGCTGCAAAACGAAGGACTAGCGTCGATCCGAGCTCTCCGACCCGTGGCTCTCCTAAATCGTGTGCAGCCAAATCGGGGTGAAAGGTCGCGTCCACAACGACCTTCCACACGCCGAGCATGCAGGCGTCATGCTTTGCGAAAACGAATTACACTAGACAAAAAAAACTCGATGCGGAAAAAAGACCGAGGACTCGATGCGCATGTATTCACTAGTAGCTGAGTAGAAATTCGTAACGTACTCGAGTAGAGAACATCATGCCAGAAAAACGCGTGGCTCTCCAAAAACGCGTACAGGCAGATTGTCGCGTCCGCAATGAATCTGGCAGTTCCGAGAGTGCAGTGCAGACGCAACGTCAGAAAAAATCGCATGTCGATTTCGTATTCTAGCTTCGCAAAATACTCCAGGAAATGAAACTCGGTGCGCGGAAGATAAGCCGATGCTCTCGGTATTACCAGAGAGAAAAAAATCCTTTGCGCAAAACACGCCTACCTGCCGCGCTAGATGACGCGACCTCCCGCTCCCTCCTTCACGGTATTGAAGCTCCTACAATCCAGCCGGACGCAGACCAAACAGCTTCAATCTTTACAAAATGCATAAGTAAACGTAAGCCTGAGCTCTACATGTCAAAACGCTGAGCTCTAGAGCTATGGAAGCTGAGCAGAGTCTAGGAACGGAGCAGGTGAGCAGAAGGTGGGACTGAAAAAAATGGGAGCAAACGGCGAAAGCGCTGTGAAATGGGAGGCTCAGGCGAGAATGACGTTGGAATGAGGCGGAGGGGTTGCGGAATGCCTCGCCTCTCCTTCCCTCGCATCCCAACCAGCGCTCTCAAGTTCTCACAACTCGAGATCTACCGTCCGGAATCACTCAGGCCTAGAAACGATTTTCCTTTGTTCAGATCGCAGCCGTAGGTTCGAATTTCGGCCTTGTGCCTGCGGGAACAAAACAACCAGCGGTGAAGATTGTGGTTGTTTGTGGCCCTGTTTGGCAGGCATTGTGGCAGAACAAAACAACTCAATGATGATTGTGGCCCTGTTTGGCAGGCATCATAGCCATTATGGCCACAATGGGCATTTCTAACGGGCCCCCAAAAAATGCCGCCTGGGCATTTCCAGAAACTGCATCGAAATCGGATTGTAGTTGCACTGCACATTCGGAAAAACGGGGCTGAGTGTTTGGTTGGCATTATTTGGGTGTAGATTGATGGCATCTATCGAAATTTCGGGTTTTGCAGAAGATGGTAAGCAGTTGCCATGATGGTTTGCGTGATCCTGTTATTGGCTGGCATATTTGACCAATCACTTTTGATTGCCCCGAATCACTGATACCCCGCATAGTGCGTGGCCTCGAGGCCGCATGGTGGGCACTTTGCCAGAGAAATTCGTTTGGGTGTAGATTCCGGCGGTTGAAAACGCCTGCAAAAAAAGGGGTGTTTGGTTGGCATTCCATTATTCTCAGGTTCGGCGTGGTCCGCTAAAATCAAGCCTTGATAGCCTTTAACGCGCTTATCAAGGAAGGTTCCAAGGTGGTCGAATCACTGTAGCCCAACCCCCTCGCCCGTTTTTTTATGCCTGCCAAACCGGGCCTGGATTACAAGCTAACTGGTTGTGTTGCATCTTGGAATGGTCGGTCCGGTCAGGTTCAAGTTTTGTCCTTGACAAGGAGATTCGTGAGTCCTCGTGGCTGGTTGATATTCGTTCACGTGCCACGTGAATCTGCCGGTCAGGAAAGGGAAACGAAATCTCGCCGACTTTATTCTGTTCGCGTGTCGCCTCGTCACCTAAGCGGCTACGCGGGTCGAACAATGCGGGTGTATTTCAGCAAGGTTCCCGTTGCCGAAGGCGGGAGTTGCGAGATTTCCTATTTGAACGTTTCAGTTCGTCACCTAGGCAGGGACCTCTGATTGGGGAAATGATCAAACTGGGGTCGAAGAGTGTCTGAACATTATAGCTTATACTTTTGTGTAGGCTGTAGTGGGGTAGAAAATCTCGACCGTATGATTTTCGGCCCCGAGCTGCCCAAGAGGCTAGGCGAAAAAGCCGAACCGTGACTAAAAAAGAAAAACTACCAGCACCAAACTTTGTGTCCAAATTATTGAAAAAAATGTTACGACCATCGTCTACTACTACGCGCACATCGCGTTCTTCTGAAAGTAAATATTGCTGTGTTAATTTGTGAGTCCAAAAACAATATCACTCCCTGATCAGAAACGTGCAGAAAAAATATATATATTACCCGTTTAGAAATGGATGCGACTAGGGAGGCATCAACCCTAAACACAACAAAGGTTCCCGTTTTTAGGGTTGATCCATCCCGAAAATACATCCAGGTTCCCCTTGGGGTTTTAGTTTTTTTGGCTGCCATAAGAGTTTCTAGCTTGCTAAACGACGCTATTGGGTGGAAGGTGATGAATCAGTAAACACTTCCATGAAAAATGACGCGCGAGCGAAAATGCAAACTGTTAACAGACATACGTTCAATAAATTATACCTCTCTGCAAATACCTTTTAAAGCAGTGGTTTGGTTAGTTCCGGGCCTCTCGGTCCTTGTTCGAAAACCTCCCTGACACTGTTCGGTCACTGTATGATCTTTTCCCATTGCCATGTCATCTGAAGCACCGTCAAGGCGTCAGTCTGAAACGCGGCAAGCCCAATCGTTTGAATTTGAAGATGCGGTTTCAGCGAATGAGAGCAAAGCAGATATTAGTCGTGCAAATCATGGGGCTGCCGTTGAGATTTGGAGCATAATAAACTACACCACACTGGATCATTTTCTAAATCCAGAAAACAATGGTTCCATCAAACTATGGGATATGAAAATGTGAGGGATGGGGAGGGGATGTTGCTTCTTGTCATTGGATAAATGCGGAGATAGGCATTTAAAGCCCGAGTACAGCATGGTAATTTTCAAGTTCAAGATTTTTGAACTTGAAATCGCCAAAAACAGAGTTACTCTACTTTCTTTGATGAAACTCTCGCGAGCCCAGGCAATCGTTCTGCGACAAAGGAACCCGAGTTGCCAAAAACAGAACTTACGCGATGATCACCAACCAGATGCATTGTTCACCACTCACATAACTTGCTTACCAAGTAAAACTCAGACTAGGAGGCTCCGAGGCAAAAACTAGTGTTAGTTGGCACAAGCGAGTCATTTATAGGGTTTTTTTTTGTGCGGAAAGAAGATAACTATCCACCCCAACCATCTTAGTCAGTGCATGCTCCGACCTCCCCCTCTCGTCACCGGTCTTGTGTTACAACCCCTTCCCCCGCAGCACTTGCGTTAGTGAATGATCTGAGCGTTGCTCGCGTCGCGCATTCAAGTTCGCGTCGCCTACGCAGGCCCTTCTCACACTTGCTGCGGTTCAGGCTCGTGTCACTACCGTACCTGTTTTAGGCACGGGTCGTTCACGCGAATACTGTACTGCTTCGCGTGACGCACGCTGCCGTTAGTCGCATATGTTCCCTCTTGTCGGCCGCCCTTTCCCATGTCAGACAGTGTTCCTCGTCGCCCGCGCTTTCCCTAATCACCCTCGCCTACCCTCTGGTCGCATATGTTCCCCTAGTCGCCCGCGCTTTCCCACGTTACTCACTCATCCCCTCGTCGCAAACGCTGATAGTAGACATACCGCGTTTCAGATTGTCACCCGCGCTCCCCTGATCACCCTCGTCGACCCGCACCGCCCACATTCCCTCTCGTCGCTGACGCTTCCCCCCATCACCCTTGCCGACCCTCGCTGCCCTTGCCTCCCCTCGTCGCTCGCACGTCCCGTCGTCGCCCTTGCCTCCCAGTCACTCTCGCTTCCCCTCGTCATCAGCGTTTCCATCCGCTCTTCCCCCCTCCCCATCTCACCAACTCCAGAGGGAGAGGAACAGATGGGGAGGAACAGAGATGGTCGCCAACGCCACCCCAATCGAACAGCGTTTCGAACCCCCATCCCCTACCCTGCTTCCCCCCATCCCCTTTCCTGCATCCCCCCACCCTCTTCCCTGTTTCCCCGTATCCCCTTCCCTGTCTCCCCCCATCCCCTTCCCTGCCTCCACCCATCCCCTTCCCTATCTCCCCCCATCCCCTTCCCTGCTTCCCCCCATCCTCTTCCCTGCTTCACCCCATCCCCTCCCTTGCTTCCCCCCATCCCCTTCCCTGCTTCTCCCCATCCCCTTCCTTGCCTCCCCCCATCCCCTTCCTTGCATCCCCCCATCCTCCTCCCTGTTTCCCCGTATCCCCTTCCCTGCTTCCCCCCATCCTCTTCCCTGCTTCACCCCATCCCCTCCCCTGCTTCCCCCCATCCCCTCCCCTGCTTCCCCCCATCCCCTCCCCTGCTTCCACTCATCCCCTCCCCTGCTTCCCCCCATCCCCTTCCCTGCCTCCCCCCATCCCCTTCCCTGCTTCCCCCCATCCCCTTCCCTGCCTCCCCCCATCCCCTTCCCTTCCACCTTACCGCCTGCCCACCTTACCGCCTTCCCACCTAACCACCTCAAATCCTTCCCTTCTCATCCGCGCGCAGGTGTGGCAGAAGGTGCACGTGGTGCGGAGCTCGTTGGCGCTGGGGTACGACGTGGTATTCACTGATCGTGCAATTCACTGGGATGCCAACTCGCACGCCAACGGCGATCTCTACGCGGTGCGCAGCAACACGCATGCGCATGCTCAAGTTCTTAGATTACTGGATCCCCTGGCACAAGTGATGAGTGTCGCTCTCTCACACTCTGCCGCAATGCTGCTCCCCCTTGTGCCTGCCGCCTGCTGTCCACGCCTTCCATCCCACCTCTCCCTTTCCCCGTCTGTTTCTATATGTGCCGAATCCCTCTCGCTCTTCTACTCACTACGGTCTCTCTCCCTTCCTTCAACCCGCTCTACTTGCCGCCCAGTCTATTCTCCTTTGCCACACTTGCTTCCCCCCTCCCTCCTCCCTGCTTCCCCCCTCCCTCCTCCCTGCTTCCTCCCTCCCTACGCCCAGCTTCCTCCCTCCCTCCGCCCAGCTTCCCCCCTCCCTACGCCCAGCTTCCTCCCTCCCTCCGCCCAGCTTCCTCCCTTCCTCCGCCCAGCTTCCTCCCTCCCTCCGCCCAGCTTCCTCCCTCCCTCCGCCCAGCTTCCTCCCTCCCTCCGCCCAGCCTCCTCCCTCCCTACGACCAGCTTCCTCCCTCCCTCCGCCCAGCTTCCCCCCTCCCTAAGCCCAGCTTCCTCCCTCCCTCCGCCCAGCTTCCTCCCTCCCTCCGCCCAGCTTCCTCCCTCCCTCCGCCCAGCTTCCTCCCTCCCTCCGCCCAGCTTCCTCCCTCCCTCCGCCCAGCTTCCTCCCTCCCTCCGCCCAGCTTCCTCCCTCCCTCCGCCCAGTAGCCCACCCTCCTTCTGCAATGCTTCCCCCATCCCTCTGCCCTGCTTCCCTCCGCCCTCCGTCTTGCTTACCCCCACCCTCTTAGAGGTGAGACTCACGCATCAGGTGAGCATTCGACCACCCCATATGCCCCTCCTCTCCCTCTATCTCACCGTCTTTCCTGTCCCTCCCCATGTGCCTCTCCAATCCCTCCCCATGTGCCTCTCCAATCCCTCCCCATGTGCCTCTCCAATCCCTCCCCATGTGCCTCTCCAATCCCTCCCCATGTGCCCCTCCAATCCCTCCCCATGTGCCTCTCCAATCCCTCAATACAGGCCGCTCCAATCCCTCCCCATGTGCCTCTCCATTTTCTCCCCATGTGGCTGCGCAGCGAGGAGGGGGGATGCACGCGCAACAGTGGGGCAGCGCAACAGATTTGTGTGCAAGCTCAGTGACCATTCTCCCCCCCCCTTCCTGCCTCCACCCAACTACTTGCAGACCTTTTTGGATTACATTCACATCCGGAAGGAGGAGAGGGTACGCAGGTGCAACTAGGGGGCAGGGCAGCAAACTTAGGAACAAGCTCATGTTCGAAAAGTGCAGACAGCATCGATGAGTCGAGAACGTCTGGGCTGAATGCTGAGATGTGTTCTGTCATATCTCCACCTTCCTGCCCCACCCTGTCAGGATCTGAGTGCCCTGGCCAGCAGCACCACAGTGTTGGTGTTGTGGGAGGTGCACCCCTGACGCCCTGCCGCTCTTTCCTGACTTCCCCACACCATTCCTTCGCTCACCATGACTGGCGAGCCACTTTGGATGTTACTGGTTGCCAATGGGTTTGGCATCATTATAAATTGTCGCATGCGGCACTGGAGTAGTTCCACCCGGCTAATTTCAGTCGCACGTGTAACCGCCTACACTGTCGATTGCAACTACAACTATAATATGTGCCAGTTTATTACTCTAATACGGTATCATGATTAGGTTTAGGACAGAGCGGCAAAGTCCACAAAACACACTCATCCATGGCATGTTCAAGAGCAATGTCACTAAGTGGGGGTGGATACACAACCCACTCACTCATCTTGACCTGCCACCCACACATCCACTTCCTCCCCGTCATAGCGGCCTGCTACCCACCACTCATCACTATCGTCGCTCCACTCCTCCGCATCTCTTATCACTGCATTTGCCACATCATCCTCTTGATCCGATGGGGTTTCAGCCTCATCCCTCTCACAGTGGTAACCTGCAGCTATAGCCAATGAGAAGGAGGACAGGCCAGAGTTTAGGGTGGTGTGCCTGTCGCGATCCATCATCTCATCCGCAGAGCAAGGCGGGTCAGGGCAGGGGTAGGGTATGCCTGGAGTGGGGAAGGGAGAAGGGCGGAGCGGGGCATGACAGGGGAGAACCATGGCAGGGCAGGGCAGGGCAGGGCATGGCATGGCATGGCATGGCATGGCATGGCATGTTGCGGAAGGAGCAGACCAGGGCAGGGCAGGCCATGACAAAGCAGGGCATGCATGGCCCCTCTAGTCATGGCATGGCATGCATAGAGGGTGCAGACAATGGCGGGGCGGTGCAGGACAAGGCAGGACATGGCATTGCAGGGCAGGACAGGGCAGGACAGGGCAGGGCAGGACAGGGCAGGGCACAGAAGTTCAGGGCAGGGCAGGACAGGGCAGGGCAGAGCAGGGCAGGACAGGGCAAGTGAGTGGGCAGGACAGGGCAGGGCAGGGCAACTCCTGGTGTGGCATGGCCTGTTTAGAGGGCAGAGGGAAAGGCGGTGCGGGGCAGGACAGGGAGGGGCATGGCATGGCATGCTTATTGGTAGCAAAAAAGGGCAGGACAGGGCAGGGCAGGGCCGGGCAGGGCAGGGCAGGGAAGGGCATGACAGGGCAAGCCAGGGCATGACAGGGCAGGGCAGGGCATCTCCTGGTATAGCATGGCATGTTTAGATGGAGCAGGGAAAGGCTGTGCGTGTCAGGACAGGGAAGGGCATGGCACAGGTGCGTGCATTGTGGTGACAGCAGGCCCAAGGCAGCAGCAACATTGGTTGATGCTGCCTTGGGACAGCACAGGTGCGTGCATTGTGGTGACAGCGGGCCCAAGGCAGCAGCAACATTGGCTGCTGCTGCCTTGGGCCAGCACAGGTGCGTGCATTATGGTGACAGCAGGCCCAAGGCAGGAGCAACCGTTGTTGAAGGTTGCTGCTGCCTTTGCTTTGTGACATGTGAGCGTGATAGGACCCCCAAGGCAGCAGCAACCGTTGTTGAAGGTTGTTGCTGCGTTTTCCTTGTGACATGTGAGCGTGATAGGGCCCTCAATGCAGCACTAACCATTGTTGAAGGTTGCTGCTGCCTTTGCCTCGTGACACGTGAGTGTGATAGGACCCCCAAGGCAGCAGCACCCGGTGTTGATGGTTGCTGCTGCCTTTGCCTCGTGAAACGTGAGCGTGATAGGACCCCCAAGGCAGCAGCGACCATTGTCGCTGTACTGTAGTCGAATAGCAGGGAATAGGGCACTCACCTGGGCTCTCCTCTCGAGCGACCCGCAGGGGCGTGTGCTGCCCCTTGCTCCCCGTCAGTACGCAGTATCTGCCTTAGTTGTGCGCGCGGTGGTCGTAGCCCGGTCACCTGGAGCGCGCGCTTCTCGTCGCCTGGAATGCGGGCCACGCGTCGCCTGGAAGGCGGGCTCCGCGTCGACTGAAAGGCGGGGCTCCGATCCGCCTGAAATGCGGGATCCGCGTCGCGAGGAATGAGGGCTCCGCGTCGCGAGGAATGCGGGCTCCGCGTCGCACAGAACGCGAGCACCTAAATGCGACGAGCGGGTGCTGCTCGGCGCTTGGTGCGAGAGCCGAATCTCCGCCGGTTTCTTCCCCCCTGGCTAGACACAACGACTCCAATACACTCCCGGTTTCTTGTTTGTGCCTAGGTAACCGTAGTCTCCAATCTGTCGTCACGGACTTTTTCCCGTACAAGCGTCCGTGCTTGCACGTTCCTACACTTTGCTGTTGCCAGCTCCTGCGATAGTCGGTAAGCTAGTAATCTGGGGTAAGGATCGTCTCGAACACGTTTCTGTTGTGGCGTTGAGTAGGTGGCGTTGATACCTAGCATGTGCGTTGCTTGCTCTGTTTTTTTATTTCCCGTTAGCATCGAGCTGATTCAGTGGTGAGGAGACTTCGAGTGAGCCACACTTTCCATGCTCGATGCAAGAGAGGAGGTGTGCGACACATTTGTCGCTTTGGGTTGGTGGGATTCGCGGAGGATACTTGTTCTCGCTAAAGGCAGCCAACCGAAATAGGTTTCGCCATTCTCGCATGCAGCCTATTTCAAGTCCACATAACTTGATAATTTACCAAGCTGACCCCGGGTTTTAATAGAGCTGGAGTAGGAATGTATGCAGTATGCTACGCTGGTGTTATGAGTTGTAAAAGAGAGTGCGCAGGTAAACGAATAACGAAGCTGTGACTGAATCAACTGCGAATACAATGAATGCACAGACTAATGTAGGACTACTCTAGCTAGGAGGAAACCTCGGACGAGCGAGGTTGGGTGCAGGTTTGGCGATGGGAAAGCCGAAGGCGACGTGAGGAGCCTCGACTGCGTTGAAATCGGCCGAACGTGCGAACTCTGAAAATCGGGTTGTACGCGAAGCAGTCAACCCCGATAAGGAATTCGGGAAAATTCCTTACACCACCCCCCCCCCCCCCCCTTTAAGAAAGGTAGTCAATGGCCGAAACACGCCGTCGCGCCAGATAATCACCAACAAGTGTCGAGGCGTCCATTGAAGCGGATGGCACCCACGTGTCGTCCTCACTGGTGCGGTCGGTCCAGCGAATTGAGAATTCCACGTGGCGTCCAGCGGCGTCAAGGCGGACCCGATGAGCGAGAATCTTGGAAGGGTCAAGTGTTGGCTCCGGGACGGGGCGAGCTGCCGGGGCCGCTTGCTGACGTGCGATGTCGGTCGTGGTAGGCACGAACTTTCGAAGAAGGCTGATGTGGAACGCGTCATGTATACGCCAATCGTCGGGTAGCAACAGCTTCGCGGTGACAGGTGTTACCATCTTGAGGATTTTGAACGGTCCGCAAAATCGTGGCCGAAGTTTCGCAGGGCCGGGCAGGTTCAGGTTTTTCGTGTCGAGGAGGACTAGTTGCCCAGTAGTCAAGACGAGTTCCCGGCGAAGAAGGTTGGTGTATTTGCGGGAAGTAATATTCGCTTTGCGAATTGCGCCGGCGGCTTTTTCGCGGACTTCCTGGAGTTCCGTCACGAAAGTCTGGGAACGCGTACCGGATTGTCGAGTGTAGTTGTCGTCGGAACCGCCGGGTCCATCCCATAATTCAGGAAAAATGGGGAGTGATTAGTCGTGCTGGATGGTGCGTTGTTGAAAGCGAATTCCAGCATTGCGAGCGAGTCTTCCCAGCGGGCAGGGTCGGGGCAGTTTGTCCTGATTAACTGCTCCATGGTCTGGTTGGTCCACTCTGTTTGACCGTCGGTCTGCGGGTGGTAAGCCGATGAGAACTGTAGCTTCGTGCCGTATTGCGCCCATGTCTCCTTCCAGAATTTGGATGTGAATTTTGGGTCGCGGTCGCCGATGATCGCTGAAGGGATGCCGTGCAGTCGCACGACCGTCGATATGAAAAGTCGCGCAGTTTCTTCGGCTGTGATTGTCGTTCGGCATGGTGCGAAGTGCGCCATTTTCGTGAAGCGGTCGACAACGACGAGAACAGCGTCGTTGCCTGTCGGCCCAGCTGGCATCCCCGTGACAAAATCCATCGTCACTTGTTGCCACGGTCGTTCGGGGTGGCTCGAGGGGTTGCAGCAATCCAGCTGGTCGCTGACGTGTCGACTTCATTGCTTGGCACACCCTGCATGAGGACACATAGCGCTGCACGTCGTTAGAGGAATCAGGCCAGTAATAGTGACAGTGTAGTAGTTTCTGTGTCTTATCGACCCCGAAATGTCCGGAGAGGTTTGAATCATGTATCTCCTGGATGAGAAGCTCACGAAGCAGACGGTAAGCGGGAACCCAAATCCGGTCGGTTCCGGCTTTTAGGTAATAGTCCCCTTTCTGCGTCGTAGTCTGCTGATGGTTTCCCGTTGTGAAGAAGGGGTCTGTCGTGTAGCCGTGGGTGAATAGTCCGGTAAGTAGCGGGTTCGAGTGGGTGATGAGTACTGCAGCGGATTGTACTGTCGGTCGGGTCAGGGCGTCAGCGATGTTATTAGCCCCTTTTTTGTACGTGATGCGGTAGGTGAAATGGCTCTCCATGTAGTCGAGCCATCGATTCTGTCGTGGGTTGAGGTTGGGTTGGGCTCGCAGGTACTGTAGGGATTTGTGGTCCGTGCGAACAGTGACGTCGGCGCCCACCAGGTAGCATCGCCATAGTTTAAATGTGTGTATAATGGCGAGCATCTCCTTGTCGTGGATCGGGTAGTTGCGTTCGGCTGCCTGCAGCTTGCGTGATTCGTAGGCTATCGGCTGCAGCCCGTTCCCGAAATCTTGGAGGAGCACAGCTCCGATGGCGAAATCTGAGGCGTCGGTTACAACTTCGAACGGCTTCGATGGGTCGGCGATGCGCATCACAGGAGGGGATACGAGAAAATTCTTGAGTTCCAGGAACGCCGCTTCTGCCTCCTCCCCCCACACAAAATTCTTGTCCTTGTGCAGTAGGTCGGTCAGCGGGCCGGTTATCCCCGCCATATTCGGGATAAACCTCCGGACGTAATTTACGAATCCGAGGAAACTCTGGAGCTCCGTGACGTTCGTCGGGGATTTCCACTCCTGTATGGTCTTGATTTTCGCCGGGTCGATTTTAATGCCGTCGCGCGAGATGACGTGCCCCAAAAACTCCAAATCCTGCTTAAAAAACTCGCACTTAGAGCCCTTGGTGATGAGTCGGTTCTCCTGCAGCCGCTTCAACACTGCGTCCAGGTCACGGAGGTGCTGCTCCCTTGTCTTGCTAAAAATGAGGATATCGTCTAAGTAGACGATAACGCACCGGTCTAGAAGATCCCGAAAAACCCTGTTCATGGTCAGCTGAAAAGTTGAGGGCGCGTTCGTGAGGCCGAAAGGCATCACTGTGAATTCGTAACTCCCGTAGCGTGTACGAAACGCAGTCTTGTGACAATCGTCGGCGAAGACTCGAATTTGATGGTAACCGCCACGTAAGTCAATTTTCGAGAAATAGCGAGCGCCACGAAGTTGGTCGTGTCAGAACATATAGCTTTTGCATATTGTGTAGGCTATAGTGGGGTAGCCCACAAGGGGTACAACTCAATTAGGGTTAGTACTTGTACTCATTTCATTCATAGTTCATTCATTCTCGTTCTCATTTTCTCATGGTATCGAGCAGGTTCCCCTGTGGGAACTGTGCCTAGGGCCCACCAAATTTCGATTTTTTTTTTTTTCCTGCCCGAAGCGCGCTCCGCCCGAGTCGCGCTCTCACCTCGTCGAGCCGCCCTAGCGGCCCCTACGCCCTAGCAGCCCTCCCTACCTTAGCGGCCCTGTCGCCCGTTCGTGCGGCCCCGCCACCTACTAGCGTGGCCCCGCCACCCGCATTCGCGGCCCCGCAGCCCTACGTCGCGACCCCGCCGCCCTAACTGCGGCCTCGCCGCCCTACTCCTGCGGCCCCGCCGCCCTCACTTCGCGGCCCCGCCGCCCTGCTTCAGCGGCCCCGCCGCCCGTCTGCTGCGGCCCTGCCGCCCCACTTCGCGGCCCCGCCGCCCTTCTTAAGCGGCCCCGCCGTCCGTCTGCTGCGGCCCCGCCGCCCCACTTCGCGGCCCCGCCGCCCTTCTTCAGCGGCCCCGCCGCCCGTCTGCTGTGGCCCCGCCGCCCCACTTCGCGGCCCCGCCGCCCCACTTCGCGGCCCCGCCGCCCTACTTCAACGGGCCCCGCCGCCCTACTTCAGCGGCCCTGCCGCCCTACGTCTGCGGCCCCGCCGCCCGTCTGCTGCGGCCCCGCCGCCCTACACCTGCGGCCCCGCCGCCCTACTTCAAGGGCCCCGCCGCCCTACCTCACCGGCCCCGGTGCCCTACGTCAACGGGCCCCGCTGCCCGTCTGCTACGGCCCCGCCGCTCTCCCCTCCTGCAGCAGCGCGCCCGAGCCGCCGACCGCCGCGCCGCCCTGTACCAGAGGAGCCGAGCCGCCCTGCCGCCAAGCCGCCCGGCCGCCCACCAGCCCAGCCACCGTGCAGCCGAGCCGCCCAGCCGCCGAGCCGCCGAGCCGCCGAGCCGCCCAGCAGCCGAGCCGCTCCGCAGCCGAGCCGCCGAGCCGCCCAGCAGCCGAGCCGCCCAGCCACCGAGCCGCCCTACGGTTGAGCCGCCCGAGCAGCCCTGTCCGGTGAGCACAGCCTCTCTGTAACTGCGTGCCCTTCCCCTACTGCTTGCACTGCTAGTCTACCGTCGTTATGGCTACCCCTAGTGTCCTCGCTTTTGACGCTAAGGGTCGAGCCATTGACTTTGAGGTCTGGGTCGACGACCTGCAGCTGTTCTTACAGTCCGATAGGGCGGACGGTCTTTCTCTCTTTGACCTCACCTCTGGCGCCTCTGCTGCCCCTGCTGCTGATGCTGACCCCACTGTTCGCTCTCAGTGGGCCACCCGCGATGCTGCTGCACGTCTTGTTGTGCGTCGCCACCTGCCTACCACTGAGCGGGCGCACTTTAGTCAGTACAAGAGTGCTCAGACCTTGTACGACGCTGTAGTTGCGCGCTACTCTTCCCCTGCCAGTGCTGCACTGAGCCGCCTCATGCTACCGTACCTCTTCCCTAACCATGCTGCATTTCCCACAGTTGCTGACCTCATTACGCACCTCCGCACTAGTGACACTGGCTACCGCGCCGCGCTGCCTGCTGAGTTCTGCGCCAAGAACCCCCCCCCCATGTACATCACTCTCTATTACATAGTCACCCGCCTCCCTGACTCCCTTTGCGTAGTCAGGGACCACTTTCTCTAAGTCTGTCCCACCACTCTCACTGTTGACCTCCTAGAGAAGGCCCTCCTAGCAGGGAGAAGAGCATAGTCGCTGTAGGAGCCTCTCGTGGTGACCCTCGCACCCCCATCTTTGAGGGGTGTTCCCCTTCCCCCCTGTTGCCCTCTGTCGCCTCTGCTGCTGCGGCCGACCTACTTGGTCTTGAGTCGGTCGGTGCGGCGTCTGCC